GCGCCCCTACACGCTACTGAGCGTACAGGCAGCGCCCCCTACAGGCTACTGAGCGTACAGGCAGCGCCCCCTACAGGCTACTGAGCGTACAGGCAGCGCCCCTTACACACTACTGAGCGTAAAGGCAGCGCCCCCTACACGCTACTGAGTGTACAGGCAGCGCCCCCTACACGCTACTTCGCGTACAGGCAGCGCCCCTACACGCTACTGAGCGTACAGGCAGCGCCCCCTACATCAACCCCTGCGCCCTCTACACACTACTGAGCGTACAGGCAGCGCCCCCTACATCAAGCCCTGCGCCCCCTACACACTACTGAGCGTACAGGCAGCACCCCCTACACACTACTGAGCATACAGGCAGCGCCCCCTACACGCTACTTCGCGTACAGGCAGCGCCCCCTACACGCTACTTCGCGTACAGGCATGTAGGGGGCGCTGCCTGTACGCTTAGTAGCGTGTAGGGGGCGCTCACCCCTGCGCCCCCTACACGCTACTAAGCGTACAGGCAGCGCCCCCTACACGCTACTGAGCGCACAGGCAGCACCCTCTACACGCTACTGAGCGTACAGCCCCCTACATCAACCCCTGCGCCCCCCGGCGCCCCCTGTGCGCGCTCACCTCGACGTCGCGGCTGCGGGCGACCTCCGCGAAGTGTTCCTGACACTCGAGCGTCTTCTCCATCTTGTCGTCGGTCATGCAGAACACGCGCAGCCGCCCCTCCGCCGGCTCGGTGCGCTTCGCGAACACCACGAACTTCGCCATGAACGGCACGTGGATCGCCTCGGCGTAGAGCTCCGTCGCGAAGCGCGCCGCCTCCGTCACCTGCTGGCAGTCCATCAGCCAGAACCTGAAACACCAGGGGGCGCAGTGTGAGACACCAGGGGGCGCAGTGTGAGCGGCGCGAGAGACGAGCGAGGGGGAGCCGCGCGAGATGACAGGTGGTGCTGTGTTGTGAGACACCAGGGGGAGCCAGGAGAGATGACAGGTGGCGCTGTGTTGTGAGACACCAGGGGGAGCCGCGCAAGATGACAGGTAGCGCTGTGCGAGACACCAGGGGGAGCCAGGAGAGATGACGGGCGGCGCTGCAGGATGCCAGGGGGAGCCACACTAGATGGCTGTGGGACTGATTATTTTAATTGTGTTGCAATCAAAATTTAGAGAGAAAGTAGTTAATTAAGAACATAATTAACATATCTGATATGTCAAGGAACAATAACAAATGATGAGATATAATTCGAAAAAACAGAAAACCAATGAAGATTTCTGTGAGCAAAGCACCTAACCAGTGAATGACGAATATATTTTTTCAATTAACTATCACTAACTACAAATAAAAAGGTAAATGAAAGAATGAGCGGCAGTGAATGAAAGAGTGGCTGTAAATAAATGAATGAGCAGTGGTGAATGAATGAATAAGTGGCAGTGAATGAGTGGTTGTAAATGAATAAGCGGTGGTGAATGAATGAAGGAGTGACAGTGAATGAATGAGCAGTGGTAGCTAAATAAATGAAGAATGAATGAGCAGTGGTAGCTAAATAAATGAACAACAGTGAATGAATGAGCAGTGGTAGCTAAATAAATGTTTTCATTTATTTAGCTACCACGGCTCATTCATTCACTGTTGCCAACAGTGAATAAATGAGCAGTGGTAGCTAAATAAATGAACAACAGTGAATGAATGAGCCGTGGTAGCTAAATAAATGAACAACAGTGAATGAATTAATGAGCGGTGGTGAATGAGTGAACGAGCAGTGGTGAATTAATGAATGTATAAGCGTCAGTAATTGAATGAGCGGCGGCTGTGACTGAATTAATGAGCGTCAGTGAATGAATGAGCGGCGGTAAATGAATGGCAAAGCTCACCTCGCTGACACGGTCGTTGTGAAGGACACGCATTCGTTGACGAAGGTCAACGGCGTCGTTCCCGTGATGTCCTCCCACTGCGCCGCATGAGTGCCACCTGGTGGCCGGGGGAAGAGAAACGCACAATTAACGCTGGGTGCGTGCGCGCTCGCCTAGTTTAGTTATCCGTCGCGCAAATCCGAGGGAGGGAATGATCCCGCCGCATTCCGGAACGTTCCGCAGTAATCCGGAATGTTCCGTCGTAAAATTTCACGTTGATTTGATTTTCGAAGTGACGGCGCTGATGTGAACCCTCACACCCTCCCTCTCCCTCCTCCCTCCTTCTCCCGGAGGGCAGAGCAGCCGCAGCGNTGAGCAGTGGTAGCTAAATAAATGAATGAGCAGTGGTAGCTAAATAAATGAACAACAGTAAATGAATGAGCAGTGGTAGCTAAATAAATAAAGAACAGTGAATGAATGAGCAGTGGTAGCTAAATAAATGAAGAACAGTGAATGAATGAGCAGTGGTAGCTAAATAAATGAACAACAGTAAATGAATTAATGAGCGGCGGGGAATGAGTGAATGAGCAGTGGTGAATTAATTAATGTACAAGCGTCAGTGAATGAATGAGCGGCGGCTGTGACTGAATGAATGAGCGTTAGTGAATGAATGAGTGGCGGCTGTGACTGAATGAATGAGTGTCAGTGAATGAATGAGCGGCGGCTGTGACTGAATGAATGAGCGTCAGTGAATGAATGAGCGGCGGTGAATGAATGACGAAGCTCACCTCGCTGACACGGTCGTTGTGAAGGACACGCATTCATTGACGAAGGTCAACGGCGTCGTTCCCGTGATGTCCTCCCACTGTGCCGCGTGAGTGCCACCTGGTGGCCGGGGAGAGAAACGCACAATTAATGCTGGGTGCGTGCGCGCTCGCCTAGGTTAGTTATCCGTCGCGCAAATCCGAGGAATGATCCCGCCGCATTCCGGAACGTTCCGCAGTAATCCGGAACGTTCCACAGTATTCTGGATCGTTCCTCAGTATTCCGGACCATTCCGTTGTAAAATTTCACGTTGATTTGATTTTCAATGTAACGACTCGCGTCCCTGTGGACGCCTTCCCCTCCCTCCTCCCTCCCTCCCTCCCTCCCTCTCCTCCTCCCCAGCAGCAGCAGCGCCCCCTACCGGTGATGCTGCAGAGCAGTTGCAGCGTTGGAGTCTCCTTGCTGTACTGGTTGATCATGCCCTCCTCCCCTTCTCCCCTCCCTCACCCTCCCTCACACCCCAGCAGCAGCAGCGCCACCTACCGGTGATGCTGCAGAGCAGCCGCAGCGTCGGAGTCTCCTTGCTGTACTGGTTGATCATGCCCTCCTCCCTCCTCCCCTCCCTCACCCTCCCTCACCACCCCAGCAGCAGCAGCGCCACCTACCGGTGATGCTGCAGAGCA